GCTTGGGGAAATTGAAATCCAGGCCCACCTACAATAAGGATAGTCTCTGAACGAGAGTCTGGCAGAATTCTTGACCTGACTGCCCTTCCACCAACATCTCTGCAGTTCTGTTCACTTCCTTAACGTTTGGCGCTGTGCGAACTACATTACCCAGAAGGCGCTGCGCTCTGCGAGGCCGACGCTCGGCCAATGAAAACGGTCGTTTCCGTGCGTCCGGTGCCCTCTGGTCGGGACTTCCGGCGTCGCCTAAGAGGCGGTCGTTTTGGGGTCTCTAGGGTGGGTCCGTTTCTTCTGAGGCTCCGGAAAGCTGGTTTTGGGCTGGGGTGACGAGAGAGGGAAGGCGCGAGAGGAGGCAGGCGGTGTCCTCTTTGCACAGAGGCGGGTCTGAGGCGCGGTAGCGGCGCCCAGGGGTACCCCGAATCTAGGTCGGGGACGGGGATGCCCGGGGCCCGACCTGGTCCTGTGCTCCCGGCCCCGCCCCGCCCGCACAGTCCGATGGCGCCGGCCGCGCGGAGGGAGCCGGCTCAGGTCAGTTCTCGGGCTGCGGCTTCTCCCCGCCCTCAGCCCAGCCCAGCCCAGCCCAGCCCAGCCCTAGAGCCCCGAGTGAGCGTCCCCGGCTCAAGCCCCTGGGTCTAGGACTGTGAGGTGCTCGTGGGGGGGCGTGTGTGGGTGAGCTACATGCAGAGGGACCAGCTCATGCAAAGGCACAGAGGTGGGATTGAGCTCAGAGTCCTAAAACTGAGGTTTGTCTCGTGTCTGCAGGGAACAGCTTGTGAGGGGACGAGTCACGTGGAAAGGCAGCCCGAGCAGCTGGGCCTTCATTCTGAGGGCGCTGGTGGCCACGGAGGGTTGTGAACAGAGAAGGGACTCGATCAATTTCTCAAAGTGTTCCAAAGCCTTTTCGGGAAAACAGACTGGGAGGAGGGTGATGAGGTTGGAGATAAGGAGACCTGTGAGGAAGTCAATACAATAGACTAATAGTTCTGGTAGGGACTGGACCATAATGGTGGTGGAGGTGGAGGTGGAGGGGGCGGGGTGGAGGAGAGGAATGATCGGATCTCTGATGGATTTTAAAAACTGAACAGACAGGATTTCCTGCTGCATCAGATGTGGCTGTGAGAGAAAGTACGGAATGAAGGACCATCCCGTTTTTTTGGTTTGCATTTTTGTGTGTTGCTGTTTCCTGACTAACTGGAAGTATGGAGAAGGGGAAGTCAGCGCAGGGAGCAGGTTTCAGGGAAAAGATTAGGAGTTGAATTTTGGGCATGGTAATCCTGAGATGTCTTAGCGGGGAGGTGTCACATGGGTAGCTTGCTCACTCACATCTGGATTTCTCAGCGTGAGGGGGGTGGCGATCTGGGCTGGAGATATCCAAGGGATGGTGGGTAGTGGCCTGGACCAGAGCAAGGTCTGGGGCTCATGTTTAGGAGGGAGAATCTTTTTTTTCTTTTAAGATTTTATTTATTTATTTTATTTCCCCCCACAGCCCCAGTAGATAGTTGTATGTCATAGCTGCACATCCTTTTAGTTGCTGTATGTGGGACACGGCCTCAGCATGGCCAGAGAAGTGGTGCGTCGGTGCGTGCCCGGGATCCGAACCCCGGGCCGCCAGCAGCGGGGACGTGCGCACTTAACCGCTAAGCCACCAGGCCAGCCTTAGGAGGGAGAATCTTAAAGTTTTCATTGCAGATGGGCCTGGAGGGTGGGGCTGCCTCCAGAGGGGTGGATTTCTGTGGTCCCAAACGGTTCTGGCTGGGGTCTGCAGGAGTGGAGGGTTGTAGGTTCTAAGGACCCAGGACTGGGATGGAGACTGAGATGTTCAGTGGTGTAGATTTCCCACTTCAGGCTCAGCAGGCCCTCATGTCCACTCTTTGTGGAGAAAAGGAAACGTCAGCCAGGCTAGTCGTGCAGCCCCTTTGGAGCCTAAGTTCTCCCAGCCCTCAGGGCAGGAGAGATGAGCAGCTGCTGCACTGGAAAGGCCCCCAGCAGGATTGCCTTCAGGAGAGTATACAGTAGGCAGCCAGGTTGCCAACAGGACTAGTATCTGCTCCGGTTCCTCAGGCCCAAGCCCCCAATTTATTACCTTGTGAGTTTATGAAATAAGTACTTAAGCACTAATTGATAAAAATACATACACGTGTTTGTGTACATATATACATCCATATGTATGTATGTATATACACACATACACGTATATAGGCAATTAACATGGATTTAACAAGTTAAATTGATGTAATCAGTTAATAATTGGTTGAAATTTTAATATACTGCTAAACATTTGATTAAAATCAAATGTGTTAAATATCACATTCTCTTAGTTAAAAGGCATGTAAAAAACTCCACATTTTCAATACCTACCAGTTCATTTGCACTGAAATTGTTGACAAAAGTTAATTAAATTATGAGGATGGTAAGTGTTGATACTTAGTACTTGACACATAGGAATGAGTTTGATAGAAATAATAGCCCCAGTGGGTGGGGGCTGTTATTATCCCCATTTTACAGATGACAACACTGAGGCACAGGGTGGTCAAGGACTCATCCAAGGTCACTGGCAAGGCGTCACTGAGGGCAGAGGCCCAGATGGTGTGAGGGGCTTGGATGAGCCTTTGGGGCCCAATAGTGTTGCCTGCTTCTCACGGCCTTGCTTTTCCATAGGTTCTTGTGGCTGCAGAATCACTTCCACACCATGCAGAGGTAAGTGGAGGGTGTCTCAGATCCTTACCCTCTTCATGGGCTCCAGGATTGTGGTGTCCTGGGACTTTGCCTGCTACTCTCCCTACCCTTCCATCTCAGATCCCTGGAAGGTGATCACAGAAGGTTGGGGCTCTGAGTCCTGATCAGGGATTATGTGGATTGGTTCCCATTTATGGCAACCAGTGGCATGGCATTTAGAAGATATTACGTTCACAGTGATCAACATTAGAAAATGCTAGAGGTGAGGGTGAGCTGGGATTGCTGCAGCAACCGTAGGTCTCCATTATGTCTGATGGAAACAGCAGGAAACAGGAGTTAGGCCTGGAACGGTAGCCTGAGGAGCTGGATCTCTATTCTGAGGGTGGTCGAGCCATAGAATGTTTGGAGCAGAGGAGGGAAGTGATCTGACGCAGACTTAAGCTTTTTCTGCTGCAGGGTAGAGAGCAGACTGTTGGGTTGGAGGGAGAAGAGAGAGGAGGCTACTGCCATAGTCCAGGCAAGTGTTGGCGGTAGCTGGACCAGAGTGATGGCTATGGAGATGGGAGATGTGTTGGAGTCTATGTCTGGTTTTTTTGTTTTGGTGAGGAAGATTTGCCCTGAGCTAACATCTGCTGCCATTCTTCCTCTTTTTTTTTTTTTTTTTTTGAGGAAGATTAGCCCTGAGCTCACATCTGTGCCAATCTTCCTCCACTTTGTTTGTGGGATGCCTCCACAGCATGGCTGATGAGTGGAGTAGGTCCATCCGAACCTGCGAACCCGGGCCACTGAGGCAGAGCGTGTGGAACTTTAACCACTCGGCCGTGGGGCTGGCCCCTGTGTCTGTTTTTTTTTAAGTAGGTCCGAGCAGACTTTCTGATATGGAGAATGAAAGAGAAGTGGAAGAGTCAGGGGTGACTCTGAGATGTTTGGCCTTAGGAGCTAGAAGCGGAGAAGTACCACCATGTTGAAGTGGGTGGTAAGAGTAATTTTCAGTGGGAACATTAGGAGTCAGGTTTTGGCCATGTTGACTTGAGATGTTCCAGAGGCCATTGAGTGGATTTGTCAAGTGGGCACCTGGACACACAAGTCTGGTGTTCAGGTGACGGGTTCAGATTGGAGACACCCACAATACGGACGGTGTGTGGATCAGGATGGAGCTGTGGATCAGATTTGGCAGGGAGCATTTTTGGATCCTGGTAGCAATGCCATTAGGTAATGAGGGAGGGGAGTGTGGGGACAAGGACTGGGGTCTCTTGCTAGACAACTGGATGGAGGTGGTGGTCTTGAGAAGGACATGAGGGAGAACAATGGCCATCGGGGAGGGGGTGTAGGAGTGAGGAGAGTCTGGCTAGTGGCCAGAGTTTCCATGGGGAGTGGACATGAGATAGATGTGGAGACAAGGCAGTGAGAAGACAGTAGAGCCAGTGCCACTGTTTATTCCCCTAACTCTGGCCTCCCCGGGCCCTTGTTCTGACCCTGCTGGGACCTGGGGATTAGCTCAAGATCAAATGGGATCCTCTGGGAGAATCAGTAGGCCTGGTGTGAGAAACAGGTGGGCTTGGGCTTCGAATAAGCGTCAGAGGAAGCTGAGACTGGTGAGGGGACACCTTTACAACACAGAACTCGCAGAGGGCTGAGGGTGTCTGAAATCTGCGTGTGGTTCTGGGTGGCTGAGGATGAGCAAGGATAAGGGCCAGGTAGGGAGGCCTTCACAGCAGGCCTGGGGGTTGACCCTGGCAGTCAGGGCCATTGGAGGTCTGGAGCAGGGTGGGATTCTGACCGCATTTACCAAGCATCCTCTAGATATCATGAGCACGCTGGCATGTGGTGAGGCCAGGGAGATGCATAATAGGGTGTAGGGGGTGGTGGTGGCAGTGAGGCGTCGGGGATGTGAAGGGAGATGTGGTACAAAGAGTGATGTGCATGTTGGGAGGGAGGTCAACAGATGGCCCCAGGCCCTTGTCCTGGGGCTGAAGGGAGACCCAAATTTGATTGTGTTTGGGACACACAATCAGGGGGCCCCCAGGTAAATTGTCTGGCAGGAGAAGGGTGAGGCTCTGCACACCAGGCCCAGAGCTTAGATGACGTCTCTTTGCCCACTGCCTGTTGTTGCTGAAGGCTGAACACAGTGATTAAAGGGACCACGAGAAGAGAACAGGCATCAGTGGCACCAGGGCCTGGTATCTGCTCTGAGGTGGGGAGCTAGCAGGGAGGGTAGGTGTTTGGGGGGGGGATGCCAAGAGTCCTGGGAAAGGAGGCTGTACATAAACTCAGCTGTCCCCACCTTGGCAGGGTCGTGTGACCTTTGAGGACGTGGCTGTCTACTTCTCCTGCGAGGAGTGGGGGCTCCTTGATGAAGCCCAGAGACTCCTACACCGCAGTGTGATGCTGGAGAACTTTGCACTGATGGCCTCTCTGGGTAAGGTCCTCGCAACCCACTGCAGCATCCTGGGCCGGGCTTTGCTCTTCCCCTTTTCTCCAGGGGCAGGTCTGTACTTCCCAAAGCTGAGCCGTGGGCACTGCTTCCTTCCCAGTGTCGTGGAGTAGGTGCTGTGAGAGCCTGGGCTGTGTGCACTGCCCCTCTCTCCCCAAGCTGCCCCAAAGCCAGGCAGGAAAGGGTTTGGGGCTTAGAAGTCTGGCAGTCAGCCTGATGCATGACAGCCTGTTGGCCTCTCCCTGGCCTGGTGATGCTGTGAAGATCCGTGGCAGTTCTCTGCCCCAGGTTCTGCCCTCTTCCTCTGGCTGACATATGAGATCTGCCTGTGCCAGGAATTGAGGCACCAACATGGCCACTACTTGACTGGGTTGTTTCTGCAAGACTCTCCTCCAAGTTCTTGCTGTTATATTTAGTTTTCTTTCCTGTGGTCTGTCGTAGGGTGGGTTGCTTTGACCCACCTGTCTTGTCTCTCCCATAGGACTTGCATCTTCCGGGACTCATGAAATTACCCAGTGGGAGCAGTGGGCAGAGCCCTTTTTGCCTGCCTGTGGAGTCACCACTGCAGCAATGCCAAGAGGTACTTGGAGGGAGGAGTGGAGAGGTGTGAACTCAGATCATACCAGGAGTCTTGCTAGTGGGCCCTGAGGTTTTGGGGCCACAGCTGGTTTCCAGCTTTCCTTTCCCAGTCACCCACCTATCATGTCTGCTCTGATTGCTGACCCAGGGCTATCCCCAACCTCTCTGTCCTTCACATCTCACCTGGGCCTCCCCACTGCTCCTTCTGCAGTGCTCTCCAACAGTGGCCTTGTTTTGTATTCTTTTATGAGATGGTTTGTCAGGTGCAGCCACAAGAGGAAACACAGGAGGAGCTTAGGAAAAAACAAAGTTTATTATACTCAACAGGTCCAGAGAGACAGTCACCGAACACCAAGAGGCGCGTCACATGGGAGCTCCCAGGGAGTGGGCTCAGCCAAGCAGGGGGGAAGCAGAGAGTGAGGACCTGTGGGCAAGTGTTTTTATCGGGGGTCAGGGGTAGTACAGAGGAATAGGCATGAGGGGATTTCATTGGAATGTTTGAATGTCACTAGGTCACAGTCAGGAGAGGGCAGGAAGGGGAACTCGTGGCAGAGGCCAGCCTTCACACTGGTGCACCTGGTCTTCTGGGTAGGGTGCTCACAGCCTGTTTATGGGGATGTTGAGACAGCAGGAAGATAGGAAGTTTTATTTTTATTTTTATTTTTTTGATGAGGAAGATTGACCCTGAGGTAACATCTATTGCCAGTTTTCCTCTTTTTGCTTAGGAAGATCGCTGCTGAGCTAACATCTGTGCCAGTCTTCCTCTATTTTGTATGTGGGATGCTGCCACAGCGTGGCTTGATGAGCGGTATGTAGGTCTGCGCCTGGGATCCGAACCTGGCAGCCCCAGGCCACCGGAGCGGAGCAAGCAAACTTAACCACTACGCCACCAGGCCAGCCCCTGATAGGATACCCTGTGGTATCTCAACATCATTAACAGTACTAATTGAGATGGATAACACTTGCTACCTGGGTTGTGGAGACATTAAAGGTGACTGGAATAGCTTGGTCTAGCCACCGAAGGCAAGCTTTGACAAAGGTGACAACTAAGAGGAGTCCTACTAGGCATATGATGGGGGTTTGAAACCCAGGCCACAGCCAGGCACTGCACTTAGTGGGGGAAAGCCCAAGAGAACAGGTCAGGCACCTCTGGAGTTCATGGAATCTGGTGAAAGGTTTTGGTTACGCTATGAGAGATTTTTACCTCTTGACCTCATCCTCATAGCTTCACCTATAGCTGTCCAGAATTATTGATGTACGTACAGCAGAAAGTGCCCTGGATGGCACAGATACCTCCTTTCCTGGCTAGTAAACAGTCAAGAGCCCATCTGTTATCCATGACCATTTGAGCTTAGACTCTTGTGGGCTTGTTGCAAAGGTGCAGCCTTTGTCCGTGATCTGAGAGGGCCACAAAAAGGTGCTGGTTGGCTCCTGCGGCTATGGCAAGTCCTATTAAGATGGGAACAAATATTCCCCGTTTTGCTGGCCTCTTTGGGTTGATAGAAAAGGGGAGGTACTGGTGGGTAGAGAACTGTGGGGATCCCCAGTGTAACCACTGCACACTGGGGTACAGTTTCATTGGGAGTTGGCAGGGAAAAGTATATAAGAGGCTGTGTCTGTGAGTTTGGGCCACAGTGCCCATGAGGTTGTTATCATAAGGAGGGTGAAGGCCCTCACATGGGGAATGGCTGTGTGTGGTTGGCCCCTGGGCACAAGTGGTTAAGCCTGGGGGTGACTTGATTGTAATGTGCAGCCGTCCCGGTGAGTCAGCTGGGAATGAAGGTGGGTGGTGTAAGCAAATGAGGGCTTTAAGGGGACCCTGTTCAGGTCCTGGTAGTACAAATTGTGCGCAGTGGCTGGGCTGTTTAAATAACTCATGGACAACTTGGTAAATGTATGTCAGGTTCCTTCAAATGTAAAGGCGAACTGAGGCTGATTGGTAATAAGCAGTGAGTAAAATATATTTGGCAGATCTGCATGGCAAAATAGTCCCTGGGTGCCCTTTGGATATCTTCAATTACTTCAGTTATGTTAGGTATTGGAGCTTGATGGGGGGAACTTGAATTCTGAGGTTTCAGTAATCAGTGGTTAAATGTTACTGTTGGTAGAAGCCTTTAAGACTTTCCACATAGGACTACTGAAAGAAGAAATAGTGGGAATAATCACCCCTTCTTTTACTAGATCTGGAGCAACCGGAGGCCAGCAGTACCTTGTTTCAGGCGATATTGTGGCCTGTTTACTATGTCACCAGCAGGGGAAGCTCCACATGTTCTCACTTTGTGGTTCTGACCAGCAGGGCCAGGGACTTGGGCTATTCCCAGCATTGTCCATGGCCTGCAATGGCATCTCTTGTCTATAGAAGAAAAACTCAAAGCATTACGGGTCATCACGACAGGCAGCTGTTCAACAAAGATTGTTGCGATATTGACATCTACTGCGATTTGTTTACCGTAAATAGTTTTACTGGCATTACCCTGTCATTTAAAAGGGGTACCTCCTTTAAATTTGAATGGGTTGCCTGGAATGATGGTAACTAGGGCTCTCGTATCCAGTAAAGCTAGGAAAAGTTTTTTAGAGTTCCACTGAACCACAGAGTTGTATATGGGTGATTGTCCCTGGGTGGTGTGACAAGGCCTGGGGACTGGCTGAATCCCATTGGAGAGGCCTTGGCTTTGCCAGTTTCAGAGCTGGAAGCATCCTTAGATGGACTAGGAGGAGTGGTTCCCTGAGCCACCAGACCTGTGGGTAATGGGTGAGGCTCTTTTAATATTATCTCCTTTAGGGCAGGCCCTGTGGCTTAGCGGTTAAGTGCGCGCTCCGCTGCTGGTGGACCGGGTTCGGATCCCGGGCACGCACTGACGCACTGCTTCTCCGGCCATGCTGAGGCCGCATCCCACATACAGCAACTAGAAGGATGTGCAGCTGTGACATACAACTATCTACTGGGGCTTTGGGGGAAAAAAATAAATAAATAAAAATTATTAAAAAAAATTATCTCCTTTAGTTGTGATTTGGGGGCTGCTTGCCTAGTAATTAGTTTATGAGGCACACTAGAGTCTCTCAGTTGTCAATAAATGGGGCGAGTTGAATCTTTGGAGGCAGTAGGGGGTGTCAGCAAGTAGGGAAAGAAGGAGCAGGCTGAATGCTGTGGTCGGGGGGGATACCTGAACGCCAGGAGGGGGATGTGATAAATCAGAATTTGAGTCAGAGTTGGTGGAGTTCTCATGGCATGTCAGGAGATCAGTTCCATCCACAGCCTCCTGTTTGGTGGGGGACATGCTGATAAGTTAAGCAATGCTGCCGTGAACTGAGAGGGGCACCTGCAAGAACTACTCCTGGACTCTGTGACAAAGGGGCCTCCTCTAGATTAGAAATGTGTTCAGAGTTTTCCTTATCGGAATGTGCAAAGAACTGATAGATCCATTGAACCATTCCAATTTCTGCAGAGGAGCACATGGGCTTCCTTGAGTTTTCCATTGGGCATCTCCAGGCCATGAAAATCAAAGTCAGTAATGGTAGGGCTTCTGAATCCCGAGGGGTGCTAGAGGTTTCCGGTTCCTTGTCTGAGGCTTTTACAAGCTCATCAAGTTTTGGCCTCTGTCACACCTGCCCTGGCGTTTGGGGCACCCTCTATCCTCTTTGGGTGCCTTCAGCCCTGAAATGTGTGAGAATTGAATTTGGAGAGCCAAAGGATCTTGAAGTAAATGATGTATCTTAGGCTCTTTAGTAATGCTGGCAGCTGCCTCATCTCGGGGGCTGTGAGCAGGAGCTACAAGCCTGTATTAAACACTCTCAGTAACCCATCAGCTCCCCTTTCTCCATCTCTTTGAATGAAATCTTTAAGAATGGTTTGGATTTCGTCTTGTGAAATTATGAATTTCAGTTTTTAACTCCTTTTGATCTCCCATGTTCTTGACCCACTGGGTCTGGAAAGACCTTGAATGCTTCTTTCCTGTAGCCCCTCTCGTAGGCAGCAGCCTCCCTCTCTAGGGTGACCTCAGCTGGGTCAGGGTCCATTTAGGGGAGCTATGGTGGCCTGATCTCCTTGGGGGATTGCTCCTAGACCGTGGGAGCTGAGCAGTAGTTGGCTTGTTGATAGGCAGCACCACTAAGTAGAGCCCTGAAATGTTGCATAGATGTCTTACCCTCCTCCGGTTATTGGGAGATGCTGAAATTAAATGTTCTTGCCGAGATCCTGGGCCATAAGATCTTGAGCCACTGATCTCCAGGGATGGGATCCAGGATACCCATAGGATCAGGAGACAAAGAGCGATAGCAACAAGGCATGTAGTGGAGAAGGGGTTGCCAGTACATCAGTCCTCATGGGGTGCCATGGTGGACTTTTCGAGGGGGAGGCAGCATCACAGGTTAGACTGAGGAGGAACATGAACATGAGGAAGCTCCCAGTCCCAGTGCCTCTAGTCCACAAGTCTGACCTCCCAAAGGTTACCCAGCCCTCATCTGTTGACAAATAAGCTAATAGCCTGCACCTGATATCCAGTGTTCCTGTATCAGCTGCAGGGAGGTCAGCCTGCCACTCTCACCCTGATCTCAGTGGAACCTTCATAATATTTTTAGCCAATTATGGCAGTCTGTCCCTTAATCGGGGAGTGCTGGGAGAGCCTTTCTCCCCCTCTTGTCGAGTCAGGGCCGTCCAGAAGTGGTCTTGGGGTAATCTAGGAGGATGAAATCCATAATTTAGGGTGAAAAGCCTTGGCAGTGCCTAAGAGAGACAACACAAAGCAGCTCAGAGCAGCAGGCACAAATGCCAGCATGACACTGAGCCTTCCCAGATGGTAGAGCCCAACAGGGACAGCCAGTTTGTATGCCAGGCAGATAAGGGGCATCTCCCATGTCCTCCCTTGCTGGTGATTAAACCATCCTATTCATGATGCCAGTCGTTTTGTATTTTTTAATGAGGTGTTCAGTCAGGTGTGGCCACAAGAGGAGACAGAGGAGAGGCCTGGGAATAAACAAAGTTTATTGTACTCACAGGTCCCAGGGAGACAAAAAGAGTCATTGCATGCCGAGGGGGGTGGGTCATCAGGCAGGGAGCACCAAAAGAGCAGGCTCAACCAAGCAGGGGAGAAGTGGAGAGGACCTTTATTGGGAGTCAGGGTGGGGTACACAAGAAAAGGTGTGAAGGGATTTCATTGGTGCATCTGAATGGCACTAGGTCCCAGACCAGAGGGCAGGAAGGAGAACTTGTGGCAGGGGCCTACCTTATCACACTGATGGACCTGGTTGCATAGTTCATAGCCTGTGGGGATGTTGAGGCCACAGGAGAATATGAAGTTTTCAAGGTTATGCTACAGGCTTTCACTGAATATGTCATGAAGTGTGCATATATCCTTAAATAGTATTTAAACACCAGCTATTTTGCATTTGATTTTTCTGGGCTTGGACACAGCCTTCTGCACTGTGTTCCTGTGTCACCAGCAGCTAAGGTCCTGCTGACAGTCATTTGCAGAGGAGTGTGTTGGAGACCCTGCCTCTGCTCCCTGAGCTGCACCCCATCCTTTGTTCTTGCTGCTCATGAGGCCCCCCCACCGGTCTGTGAGCTTGCCAAGTCCAGCACTGCACAGTGAGCACTTCCTCACCCTGACCTCAGGCCCCTCATTCTGCCAGCATTCCCAGGGACTCATTACTGGGTGTGTCAGACATGTGTCTGTGAGGGTGCTGCCCCCTCCTACCAAAGTCTACATACATTTCATCAGCATTTCCCTGCTTTCAGGTTGTTGGCATGGAGCAGAGGTTAAGGAAGCACCTTCTGAGCAGAGTGTGTATGTAGAAGGAGTGCTCAGAGCAAACCTTCACCAACACCAGAAGCTGCACTGTGGAGAGAAACTCTTAAGAAGAGAAGAGACGGAGGAGGGTGAGAAGGACTCCCCAACTAGCTCTGGTCTTCTCAAGCATCAGGTGGCTCACAGCGGAGGGGAGTCACATAGGAGCACTGAAAGTGAGGAGGCCTTTCACCCTGAAAAAAGGCATTACAAATGTGGCGAATGTGGGAAAGCCTTTGGTCAGAAATACTTACTTGTTCAGCACCAGAGGCTACACACTGGAGAAAAGCCTTATGAATGCAGTGAATGTGGGAAATTATTTAGCCATAAATCTAACCTTTTTATACACCAAATAGTTCACACTGGTGAAAGGCCTTATGGGTGTAGTGAATGTGGAAAATCCTTTAGCCGAAATGCCGACCTCATTCAACACCGGAGAGTTCACACTGGAGAAAAGCCTTTTACATGCAGTGAATGTGGAAAAGCCTTTAGGCATAATTCCACACTTGTCCAGCATCACAGAATACACACTGGAGTAAGACCTTATGAGTGCAGTGAATGTGGGAAATTCTTCAGCTTTAACTCAAGCCTCATGAAACATCAGAGAGTTCACACTGGAGAAAGACCTTATAAGTGCAGTGAATGTGGGAAATTCTATAGCCACAAGTCGAGCCTTATTAATCATTGGAGAGTTCACACTGGAGAAAGGCCTTACGAGTGTAGCGAATGTGGGAAATTTTTTAGCCAAAGCTCTAGTCTCATGCAACACCGAAAAGTTCACACTGGAGAAAAGCCTTTTAAGTGCAATGAATGTGGAAGATTCTTTAGTGAGAATTCCAGCCTCGTTAAACATCAGAGGGTTCACACTGGAGCAAGACCTTATGAGTGCAGGGAATGTGGCAAATGTTTTCGCCACAGCTCCAGCCTTGTTAAACATCGGAGGATTCACACTGGAGAAATGCCTTATGAGTGCAGCGATTGTGGAAAATCGTTTAGCCAGCGTTTCAACCTCATTCAACACCAGAAAGTTCACAGTGGAGAAAAGTCTTGAATGCAGCTAATGTAGAAAAGCCTTTAACCAAAGTTCTGCTCTGATTCAGCAACAGAAACTTCACAATTCAGGCCATATGAATACCATGAACATGAAGAAAGGTTTCAGCCAAGGGCTTCACTTTGTTCAGCACCAGAAACTTCAGATTGGAGGAAGGCTTTAGGAGTGCAGGGCATGGGCTGTCTAGCTTAAAACAGAGAAGCTCTGAGAGTAGCCTTTACGAGGGAGCCAGCAAGTGAACATTGTTCATCGAAATATGCACACTGGCCACAGGATGAGAATTGCTGACATCCTGCCCCTCCCGAGAAGACAGCACTCTGCTTGGGACCTCTAGGGAGAGGGAGCCCTGTGTTCTTGGCTGTATGAGGCTGGAGTAGAGTTTTCATCTGTCTGAGTTTGGAGGGAGGAAAGAGTGATCAGTCTTGGTTCAAATGCCAGCGGCTCTTGTTGTTCTTACTGAATATTAGATTTTCTTGAATGTTTCTTCATCTGCTGTATACCCTTAGGACCATTTCCAGAGACCTTAAATTGTGTTTTTATAATTTTCACCAGTTTTAATGGGAAGCAGGCCCACAAAGCTCCTCACACTGTCATGCTGGAAGTTGGTCCAAATATTTAACTTTTTAAGAACTTGCCAGATTGTGTTCTAGATGGTTATGCCATTTCACATTTCCTTCTGGAGTGTATTAGCTTTCTGGTTTCTTCACATCCTTGCTGACTTTTGTATGTAAGATATGAGCCATTTGTTTTAGCAATTCTAGTAGATGTGTAGTAGTATTTCATTGTGGTGTTTTTTGTATTTTTTTGGTGAGGAAGAGTGTTCCTGAGCTAACATCTGTTGCCAATCCTCCTCTTTTTGCTTGAGGAAGATTGTCCCTGAGCTAACATCTGTGCCAGTCTTCCTCTATTTTGTATGTGGGATGCCACCACATCATGGCTTGATGAGTAGATGTGTAGGTCCACACCTTTGATCCAAACCCAAGAACCCTGGGCCACTGCAGCAGAGTGTGTGAACTTAACCACTACGCCACTGGGCCGGCCCCTCATTGTGGTTTTAATTTGCATATCTCTAATGACTCAGTGTTGACCATTTATTCCTGTTTATTTGCTAGCTATGTATCTTCTTTAGTGAATTATCTATTCATATTTTTTGCCTATTATTAAAAGAATTGTTTTATGATTTCTTTTTTTTTTTTTGTGAGGAGCACTACCCCTGAGCTAACATCCAATGCCAATCCTCCTCTTTTTTGCTGAGGAAGACTGGCCCTGGGTTAACATCTGTGCCCATCTTCCTCTAGTTTCTATGGGACACTGCCACAGTGTGGCTTGACAGGCGGTCCGTTGGTGCGCACCCAGGATCCGAACCTGTGAACCCTGGGTCACCAAAACGGAGCACGAGCACTTAACCACCATGCCACTGGGCCAGCCCTATGATTTCTTAATATATTTTAGATACAAGTTCCTCATTTGATATATGCTTTACCAGTATTTTGTCACAGTCTATGGCTTTTTTTTTCATTTCTTTTTTAAAAAAACTATATAGTTTTTTTTTTTTTTCCTTTTCCAAAGCCCCAGTACGTGGTTGTGTATCCTAGTTGTAAGTCATTCTAGTTCTTCTATGTGAGCCGCTGCCACAGCATGGCAATTGACAGACAGGTGGTGTGGCTCCACGACTGGGAAGCAAACCCGGGCCACTGAAGTGGTGAGTGCTGAACTTTAACCAGTAGGCCATCAGGGCTGCCTTTTCTCATTTCTTAATGTCTTTCTTAGAGCAGAATTTATTAATCTTCATGAAGTCCAATTTATTTTTTCTTTTATTGATTGTGCATTTGGTGTTGTATTCTTTTTCTCTTACAGTACTTTATCTTTGCTGGTAGATAAAAGCCTTATCTGAGTATGCTATTGGAGTCTTGTGAGTCCTTTTAAATATCCAGTCTTGTGAAATCTTTGTAGATTTAAATGCAGATAAAGAACTCAGTGTACTTAACATTGTACTAGAGGTCTGTGTTCATGACATATGGAAAAAGAAAGTCTAAAAATTGTACAGGTAGAACCAAAATGGTCTATTCACATACAACATGATTATGTTGAAAATTCTAAATGATCCACTAAAAAGCTACTACATTTAATGATTGAATTTAGCAAGGTCCCAGGACAAAAAAGGCTAATATACAAAAATTATTTGTATTTCTGTAATACTAGCAATGAATGCTTGGAAATTGAAAAAAAAAAATCCTTTACAAAAGCATCAAAATATGAAGTATTTAGAAAAAAATGTAATATGTTCGAGAAGTATAAGAAACTACCATACATTGCTGAGAGATAATAAAGGCCTAAGCAGTTTCACTGGTGAGTTCTACAAAACATTTAAAGAATAAATAATACTACAGTAAGACGTCCTTTCAGAAAACAGGAGGATCAAACGTTTTCCAACTCATTTTAAGAGGCCAACATAACTCTGATATCAAAACCTGAGTACAAGAAAAAAAGTAATTACAGAACTGTAGTCCTAGTTAACACAGGTGAAAAAATCCTTAACAAAATATATAGCAAACCAAATCCAGAAAAATGAAAATAATAAAATTAATCATTGGGTTTTATCAGAGGAAAATATGGTTGAACACCAGGGAAACAATCAATCCTCACCCCCCCAGTCTGTTTTCCTCTCTGCAGTCAGAGGGACCCTGTAAAGACCTGAGTCAGAGCACCACTGCCCTCAGCTCTTAAACATTCTATGGCTCCCACTACCCTCAGAATAGAGGCCCAGCGCCTCACATGCCATTCCAGTGCTGCTTTCTGCCCACCCGACTGTCTGGTCGCAACAGACATAGCACAGATCTGCGGTTTCACGAACATTCCCAGTTCAGTGCCACACCCAAGCATATGCACATGCTAGTTCTTGTGCCTGGAAACCCTTCCTTACCTCATCCTACTGGGTTCCAGTAATTGGAAGCACTGCATATAATCCCTGGTTTTGATTAAGGACCATGGGCCAGGAGTGGTTCACCTTTGGGAACACCAACCTCAAGGGCAGAGAGAGCGGGAGGCGAAAAGGAAAAGAGCATCCTCTACATCCGGGTCCTGAGACCAGCAGGGCGCGGGTCCAAGTGGCTCAACAGCCTGAAGCCAGTCCACTTGCCAGCGCCTGGCCCAGCAACGTCGCCGCCATCAGACCCTGCGCACTGAGCAGGGACCCGAGTTGGCCGCTCGACCTTAATCGACTCCCCATCTTGCCGGGCGTGACCTCAGGTGACCCGCACTCGGGCCTCAATTTCCCTCGTGTAAAAGGCACACAAAGCGCAGGGTGCCGCCTCCTGAGGGAAGGAGGGTGGGTGCGGGGCTGGAGAGCGCGCGGCCAGGCGGTGGTCACGGCTCGTACACAGGTGCAGAGGCCAGTCCTATTCTTTAACCCTCCTTCCTTACTCGGTCCCTAAAAACCTCCTGGGAAGGTGCCCCAGCCCAACGCCCAAGTCTCCACTGCCTGCGCAGACAGACCGGCCACAGCTCTGTGACGTCACCGGAAGTCCTGCCCCACCCCCGCGGGCCCCAGGAAACGTCCCTCCCCTGGCTCGTCATTGGACTAGCACCTGCCGCCATCGCACAAGCACAGCCTTCTGGGTGGTGTAGTTTCTGTCCAGCATCCCGCTGGGGTTGGGTGCGCCTGTCCCATTCTCCCCGACAATGGCCAAACAGCACCTTGAAGGGCACTGGGAAATAATGCTCTATGGTTCTAAGTACAGGGACCACGCCCAGATTTCTGTGGCCACATTGGGCAAAGCACCATCCAGAGAGATCTCCAATAGGAGACCTCTGCCTGTGCAGCTTTAGGCAAGCCTCTTCAACCTCTCAGACCCTCAGGAAAAAAATGTAAGTAAAAAACATAATAAACATAAAATAAAATAAATAAGTCTTGGGGATGTAATATACAGCATGGTGACTATGGTTAATAATACTGTATTTAAAAAACATAATAAAAAGATTTAAAAACATAATAAAAAGATAACTTGCTTGCCAGTGTCTGTGTACTCAAATTAAACGGTGCTCTAATTCAGTGGTTCCCAAACCGGTAGCATCAGTATCACCTGCGAATTTGTTAAAAATGCACGTACAAGGCCCCATTCCACCATCAGTCCATAGCCTGAACCTGCAGCTCCTAAGAGAGCACTAAATCCTGGAGAAGTATGGAAACAGATCACCGAGGCCAAGGAGATATCCCCACAGAGGAGCACAACTGAAGAAACATAATGAAGACAAAATTTCACAATCACTTCTGCCTATATTCCATGCCCAAAGCTGATTTACATGGCCCATATAAGGGAAGCTGGGTGTCCACAAAGAGAAAATTGGAGAGCGTTTACCCAGATTCTAATTCAATCCATCAGATATCCATTTTATTATGCCTCCTACACATTCAGCATTATTATCCTTTGGGAGATAACCCCAAACTCCATGCCTCCATCTCGTTAGTATTTCTGTTCCTAACCTAAGATCAGAAGGCTGTACAACAAAATAAGTTACTTGTTGCCATTCACTCCCAATATCACTATGGTTCTGGAACACAGTGGAAAGGCCTATCCAAGGATCTGAAGAATAAAACCCTGCCAACCTAGATTTCTATAAATGTCAAAACTGTCTTTCAAGAAAGAGGATGAAATAAGACTTATTTCAAGCCCAAATGAGAAATCTAATGGAAGATTAACACACAAAATGAAATGCTAAATGTTATATTTAAGGACTTTGGAAAGTGATCCCAGAAGAAATAATTGCAATGACAGAAGGAATGAGGTCCCAAGAGGGGAATGCCTTTGTGGATTGACTCAACTGCTTATTATTGCATTAAATATGAATAACATTTCCTTGTGGAGTTACAATGATGGAATTAACATGCATAGTCTCAACACATATACCAAGATAGGACATATTGGTTAATCTTCTAAGCCCCTTATATTGCCTGGGAAGAAAGAAAAAGCATCTATAGCTCTGTGCTTTCTGTTCTGTGTAAGTGTTTGTACATTTTGGCTTAAACAATAGCAAACAGAATCAGAGTATATGCTTTGCAAACTAGAATAAGGAAAATCTGGATTGTAAGTAATTAATAGAAAGTTTATTTTTAAAGGACCAGAAAAACAACAGGTGAGGCAAAACAATCCACAAAATAAGATGACATATTTAAACCCAAATATATCAACTATTACATTAAATAAGTGTGGAATAAATTAACAGTTAATACTTTTCGATGGCTCAAAACTCCCTTTACAAGGGATTGAATTTTCATCAATAAATTTCAAGCACAGGTTTTGAATTTCCATTCAAAGCACAACTAACATTCCATGGCATCCTCAGCCACCCCATCTGCACTAATGGGAAAGAAAGCAGGGGGCAGAGAAGAATGCCCCGGCTGTGGCTGGTGGGGAACCAAGACCTTAAACTGAAGGTCACCAGAACCCATGAACAAGCTTCTTAAGACCTAAAATCAGCTGAGTTGTCATTGGGACCTGCGGTATATTTTTACCAGCAAATCCCACCAGCACGTCTCCTGGAAAGGAAGGAAAAGGATGGCACAAAGGGGTGACAATCATTTTAACAATAGCTGACATTGAAGTATATCCAACCTCCCAACATGACAGGCATTTTACCACACCATCCTTTAACCTGCACAACAACCTGGTGAGGTGGGTCTGTCAACACTCGCTCCTTTCATAATGAAGCTGAGGCTTCCAGTGGTCATTAGATTGCCCAGTTTACAGGGGAGGAAACTGAGAACTCAAAAGGTCCCCGAGTCGCCCTGAGTCATGACCACTGATAAGCCGCACAGCTGAGAACAGTGCCTGCAGTGACGCAGGTCTCATCACTGTCCTACACGCCTCCTGCCCAAAGCTGTCTAATCTGGGCGGGCCGGCGCCCCTTCTGGGTCAGAGAAATAAGGCCATGGAAAATTCGACTGCCCATGTACCATTAGGGGGACAAAGATGAGTCCTGTCATTTCTGTGTCCAAGAAAGGGAGCCTTCAGCTTTCACTCCCTCAGTCAACACACATGCTAGGTGCTGATCGAGAAACTGGAACACAATGACAGGCCACGTGTCACATTCCTACGGATGCAAAGGGCTCTCTCTTGAGGACTGAGGAGAGAAAAGTCATTCCCTTCATTCCAATTATTTACACGTCCTGTTGGCTCCACCTCCTAACATGTCCCAGGTCATCCTCTCCCCACCATCTCCAATGCCACGATCCTGGGCTAGTCCACTGTCAACGCACTCCTGGAACACACAGTGGCCTCCATACTCTCTCCCACATCAGTTCTTGACCCTCCTCAGTCCATTCTCTACACAGCAGCCAAACGGCAAGTTAGAGACAAATAAGATCATCCCACTGTCCTGCTGAATCCCTTCCTCAGCTTCTCAGGACAGTTAGAATAAAATTCATGTTTCTCAGCATGGCCTACAAAGCCCTGTGCATCTGGCCCTGCTCCCTCCATCTTACTGCCCACCACGAATCTCCTCCAGACACACTGGCCTTCAGGGCTTTCCTCCAACAGGCCTAGGTCTTGCCTGCCTCAGGGTCTTGGCACATGCTATTCCCTCTGTCAGGAATGCTCTTCTCCATATTTGAGCTGGGGCTCCTCCCTCCCTCGTGGGTCTGCATGGTATTGTCCTGCGTATGCCGTCTGTTCCTCTTCCTGTGCTTTACAGTTTAATGTACACCTTCCCACTTTTACAGACAAGAAGAGAGGCCTGTGGGGAAGCGACATGACCAAGGTCACCCAGCTGGTGAAGGGCACAGCTCAGAAGTGTCAGAATCCCACTTCTCCCCTGAGTCCAAGCTCTTAGGCACCGGACCACGCTTCCTGATGCACATCTGTCCTCCACGCCTAAGTTTTCCCTGCTCGTCATTATGCTCCATGGAGACCACAGACACATTATGGTCACAGCAGGAGAGTTGCTACCCCACACCTCACGTTATCACGTGTGTTTCCCATTCTAGAAAGCAAGGCCCATGTCTCAGTCACCCATGTTATCTCCACAACACAGGACACTGTGTGGGTAATGGTGATCAAGGATGGGGTTCTCGGGCCGGCCCGGTGGCGCAAGTGGTTAAGTGCGTGCGCTCTGCTGAGGTGGCCTGGGGTTTGCCGGTTCAGATCCTGGGCACGCACCCACACACCGCTTGTCGAGCCACGCTGTGGCAGCGTCCCATATAAAGTAGAGGAAGATGGGCATGGATATTAGCCCAAAGCCAGTCTTCCCCAGCAAAAAGAGGAGGATTGGCAGATGTTAGCTCAGGGCCGATCTTCCTCACAAAAAAAAAAAAAAAAAGGATGAGGTTCTCAAAACTGCTGCCCATCATACCAGCAAGAGCACAGCAGGTCCCTCGGAACACAGAGAATGAGATGGGGAGACATGGACCATGAAAGAAGGGGGTCCTTCATCCACTGGGATGCACATCACACCTGCTTTGGGATAAACTGAGGGCCAGGTCTCTGAGTGAGCCACATGATAGCAACAGAGCTCTCAGGTGTGGAAAGGAGGTCTGTCTGCTGAGAACCAAGTTGTGTTTTGGGAGGGACTGGCTTCTAGTCTCTGCAGTGCAAGGGCTCAGCTACAGGTAAAGGTAACGTCATGGTCACAGCACAGACTGTGCATATGAGGGAGGACAGGGTTCTCTTAGGTATGAACTCTCAAATGCCAAGTCATATTTTTCCTCTGGCAGAATGATTAGCCACAATAGTTACTTTAAAGAGGTCTGTCCCCAGTATGAGTTCTCTGATGTTGACTGAGGCCTGCTTTCTGGTAAAAGGCCTTCCCACATCTGTTACACTTGTAGGATTTCACTCCCCTGTGAATCTTTTGATGGGTAGTGAGGGTTGAGCTATAGCTGTAGGTCTTTCCACACTCACTGCACTCATAGGGCTTCTCCCTAGAGTGACACCTCATGTGTCGAGTTACTGAAGAGCTGTCACAAAAGGCTTTCCCACATTCTTTGCACTCAAAGGGTTTTTCCCCAGTGTGGGTTCTATTATGCCGAATAAAATCAGAGAGGTGGGCGAAGGCCTTTCCACATTCACTGCACACATAGGGCTTCTCTCCACTGTGAGTACGCTGGTGCTCTGTGAGGTGTGACCTGCGGCTGAAGGCCTTCCCACACTCCATGCACTCAAAGGGCTTCTCTCCACTGTGAATCCGCTGGTGCTCTGTGAGGTGTGACCTACGGCTGAAGGCTTTTCCGCACTCCATGCACTCATAGGGCTTGTCTCCAACGTGAACGCTGTAGTGTTCAGTGAGGTCTGCCTTCTTGAGAAAGGCCTTCCCACACTTTCTGCATTTACAGAGTTTTACTTTAGTGTGAATCTGCTGATGTTGAAGAAGGCGGCAATTCTTGATAAACCCTTTCCCACAGTCCTTGCATTTGTAGGAGTTCTTCCCTCCGTGAATCAAGGGATCTTTCCTTGATCCGCGTGATTCACACTCACGGCGAGGGTCTCCTGGAGAGGTGAGCTCCTGGAAATTGTTTGAGCACAGACTGTCAGCTGTTCCCAAATCATCACATTCAGGGCTCATCTTTCCAAGGGGGGTTTCCTTGAGGGGGACTGTCCCTGCCCTCAAGTGCCCTCTCTGCTTTTCTGATGGTCCTTCCTGTTCCCTGGCTTGCCCCAAAATGGAAACCATGGAGTCTTCCTGAGTCAGTGACCTGTGGAATGAGCACCCCTCAAACAAGGATGGCTGAGAAGCAGTAGGCTCTATGGTCTTGGATTTTGCTTTGCCACCTGAAGGGAATTCAATACACAAAAGAAGCCTATTAGTGATGCCAACATAGAAGAAACAAAACCACCAAGCCCGTGGGAAAAGGCAGGTGGCAACAGTCCCGCTGATACCCGCTGGGTTTTCACATCTCTCAAACTCAGGTTGGTATTTTTTTTTTTTTTTTTACTGGTCCTTGGATTCTTGACACCTTTAAAGGGACAACCTTGAGGAGAATCTGGGGCAGGGGCCAGAGTGGAGTCCCTTCTTCAATGTCCAGAGGGGAAAGAAATGATAACACTGTGTGTGCTGTGTTTGTTCTAAGAAAGAATGCTATGTGGTGCTAAGAACACAGCGAAGGGGGCATCTAAAGCAGCCCAGATAAGACGGAGAGAGACACCAGTGGAGGCTTCCCAGAAGAGGTGTCTTGAGAGCTGAGTCCTCAAGAAGCAGGAGGAGTTACCAGATATGGAAAGTGAGAGGGCACTGCAGACAAAGGAGACCGAGTGTACAACAGGGCAGAGTCTAGAGAGAATCTGGATGCCCAGGGAACTGCAGGGCATGAGAGGATGCTGGGGGGTAGACAGAGATACAGACAGGGTGCCGACTGGCAAGGTTCAGATGGGTGACAGTGAGGACAGCCGTGCCCACTCCCAGGACAGGGCCTACAAGGCTAAGGGTAAGCAGGACCTGGGGGACATATCAGATCAACTGTGCATGAGGAACAGTTAGGTGACTATAAAACAGATAAGATCTAGAGAGAGAAACCTTAAATATTTACTAGAAGATATTAATCTATGCAAATAGAGAAATTAATGACAAAGTTATCAGTTCTCCTCAAATCTATCCGTAAGTTCATTACCACTCCAGAGAACAGGATTTTCCATGAAACTTGACAAGTGGATTCTAGAATTTACATGGAAGAGTCAAGGGCCAAGAATATCACTGAAAAAAGAATAAGGAGAGGGGACTTGCTCTCCCAGGTGGTAGGCTCATGATGAAATTACAGACATCAAGACACTGTGATATTGGCACAGATATAGAAAAACTGGCAATAGAAAATAATAGTGCTCAGCAACAGATTCATGAATATATCGAGCTTTCTTATACAGCTGAGGTAGCCTAGCAGATTAGTGGAAAAGAAGGGATGATATCACAAATGGAGCAAAAAAATTGGTTTCCCTCATGGGGAAAAGTTACTGTATTTCTACCTCACACCATACACAAAGATAATTCCATATTCATTACAACTTAAATGGAAAAAGTCAAATTTAAAATATATTCATAAGCAATAGGAAATGAGTATCTTTTTGACATCGGTGTAGGGAAAGATTCCTAGCAAGACACGAAAAGCTGGAATCATAAAACAAAAGATAAATGGATCTGAATAAACAAAATATGAATTTCTTTTAATCAAAGATACTTTAAAGAAAATAAAAAGACAAGCTAAACTCTAGTAGAATACAACTGCAGCCCATATAAGGGGTAAAAGATTAGTATCAGGAATATACAAAAACTGACAAATCAAAAAGAGAAGAGCAGCCATCTTAATAGAAAAATGGGCAAAAAAATCATGAACCGACATTAAGAAAAGACACACATGTGGCCACTAAAGAAATGAAGATTTTATCAACTGTCTGAGTAACGAAGGGCTGCAAAACACAACTATGGTGAGATCCTCTTTATACCTATTTGATTGACAAAAATAAAGGCACCTGGCAATATCAACTATTGGAGAGGATGTGGGTCAATGGACTCTCCCAGACACTGCTGGGGGAAGAGAAAATTATTATAACTCCTTCAGAAAACAATGGGTATCATCTTAATATTTCAAGTACCTAGTCATCCAAAATTCCACTCCTAGGAACATTATCAAGAGAAACTTCTGCACATATGCACGAGGACACCTGTATAAGAATTTCCACAGCAGCACTGTTTGTAAGAGTGAAAAACTGGAAAAAAAGTCCATGTCCAAGAGAATGAATACTTTGTGGTATATTCATGCAAAAGCATATGTACAGCTGAAGAACATGAGTAAACCACAGCTATATCTATTACAAACATTAGTAACATAATACTGAATGAAAAAGCCAGGCCCAGATAACTATAGAATACTCTTTTTATAAAGTTTATAAAAAATCTATACAACATATTGTGTAAGTGTACACACATACATAGACACAGGTATGATGAAACAATTTAAAAAAGTAATGGACTGAACATTTAGATGAAGTGGACTGACCAAAAAACAAAACATACCAAAACTGACACAAGAAAAAATAGAAAATTTGAATAGCCCTACATCTACAAGGATATTGATTTTGTAATAACAACTTCCCACAGATGAAGCAATGAATAATAAATCCAAATTCTGGAGAATGGTTATCTCTGTGCTGGAGGTATGGGGATAAGAAAGAAGCACATCAGTATCAGTGCTGTGGTCCCGAGAATCCCCTCTAAAGTGCCACAAAGAAAAATGAAATGACAGGAAGCACTGACAAGAATGTGGAGCAATGGAACTCATACACAGCTGGTGGAGTGTGGGACGGTCAACCATGCTGAACATTGTTTGGTGGTTTCTCTTAAAAAGCTGAATATACACCTATGCCATGTCCGAGCCAGTCCAGTCCTGGGTACATGCCCACCAGAACTGCTCATGCAGTGATGCGCCTAACATCCATAAAAGGAAAACAGCCCAGATGTCCATCAACCAGAGAATGGATAAATAAACTGCAAATATTACTACAATGACATATTACACAGCATCAAAGTATCAAACTCCAACGATCTGCAACCACATGAATGAATCTCATACACATACTGATGATCAACAGAAGACAGGCAGAACACATACTGAGAGGTTCCATTTATATCCACTCAGGAACAGTGAGAACTCACTGACGGTGTTCAAGTATGGGTGGTTACCTCTGTAGGAAGTAGTCTTGACTTGGAGGGCTCATGAGGAGCCTCCTAAGGTCTGTGTCTTGACATGAACGGTGGTTACTTGGATTTATTCATGTGTAAAAATTAATCAAGCTAAACCCTTAAGATTTATGTGCATTACTGTGTGTACATTACTCTTCAGTTAAAAAAATAGAAGAAAAGAAATAATGGATAAAGGGAATGTTTGGAAGTCCAGTGTAGACATTTCTTACAAGAATGAACCATCTCCTCTAAGTTGGTTGTACAGATAGTCACACCAATAAGAGGCAATTCTAGAGCTAAGGAAGGAAATAAGAGAAGAAAAGAGTTCCCAAGAAGGAGGGAGAAGGTGTGACCTAGACCCTGGTGCACGAACTGGTCACAGCTGGGGACAAGACCTCTTCTGTGGAAGTGAGAAGAGAGGCTGCAGGCAGCAATCAGATGTGGAGGAGTCTGAAAGGGGTGAGAAGCAAGAAGGAGAAGTAAGCAATCTTTATTTCCAACATGAATTTGGTCACAGGCTGAGACCTCAGTGGCGGGGGGAGTGGGGACGATTTGGAATAAGGTGAGTGGCTGGGAGAGCTGCTGCAGGAGACAGAGCTGGGCAGAGGCACAAGCAGATGGGAGACAACAGGCTGTGTTCGCATCATGCAGTCGAGAGATGACGAGAGAGCTGGACCAGGGTGCTGGTGGTGGAGCTCGGGAGGGCATGGCAGGCTGGACTCAGGAGGCGAGGGTGACGTAAACTGGGGAGGACTTGGGGCTGGCTGGATGAGGGGTCTGATGGAGACAAAGGTACTGAGGGGTCATTCAAGGTTGTTTCTGGCCTTCTCAGCTTCTCAGATGGCAGGGCCATTCACTAAAACTGGTGTCCCCAGCGAGGTCCCAACAAGAAGCTTCCATAGAATTTCAGAGGCAGCAGTTCCCTCCCGGTCTGCAGGCTGCAGCGACCCCCACTGCCCAGCTCCTGGCCACTCACCTGGCGAGGTGCTTTGTGAGAGGCCTCCCCTCACCGTCTGTAGCGCCTGCCCAGGATCCGGCAGGGAGATCAGCTCTGGTTTGGGAGCGGGAGACCCTGTTCATGGAGATACAAGACAAAGGTGATTTGTAAAGACAAAACAGAACCTCCCTACAGAGTGTGGTATTTAGGACAGGGAAGGTTTCAGAATGATGTTGCTCCCACGCGAGCAAAGACAATGCTGACCTATGGCCTGGAACCCAGGCCCCAACACCATCCTTGGGTGAAAAGGCTGCAGAGGGTCGTGCTGGCTGTCTACACAACACCCTCCATCCTGCAGACCCATGCTGTGCAGGTGCGCACCCCTTCCACACACAGCCGTGGGGCCCTGGGAAAGGGACGCCTCCCTCCACAGCTGTTTCCTAATTAATCTAAGTCAGTGGGTTGTACCCTCCCTGTGTCTCACCAGGGGATGCCTGGTCCTCACTTCAGACCAGTTCAAACTCAATCTCTGGGTGAGGCCTGGGCATCAGGAGTTTCCAAAGCCCCCTGGGTGATTCTGGCATCCAGGGAGCGATGAGAGCCCTGGTCTCCATCAACTTGCAAATGGTGCCCCAATCAGGAGCCTGAGGCAGACGGTGACTGAAGCCCATCATTCGCTCAGAACAGGAAGCCTTGATTGTGGAGGGAAGAAAAGGGTGAACAAGGGGTTCTGCAGCCCCACTCAATGCTGCAGCCTCCTGGGGCCTGTGAGGGACCCAGACAAGGCCAAAGCAGACCCCTGCACCAGGAAGAGGGGGCAGGAAAGCAGAGGAGGGGGTTGGCCTCAGGAACATGCCATAGTCCACAGGCAGCTCAGCCGGGTTTGACACCAGGCCTGGTTCCAAAGCCCAGCCTACTGAGCATCGCACTGGGGAGAGAAGGGCTCAAAGACCCCGTG